TGCTGGCCAACAGCTCTGGGACATACACAGCTGGTGTGTGGTAAATCACTCCAACTGTGGTATACCTTCCGGCACGAAGCTTGATTCTGCACCACAGGGCTTCTCCAAATCCTTCCGGATGGGCTTAATTCTCCAGCACTCGGACGGGGAGACCCGAGCGGACAAAAGGAACAATTCAACCGTTGCAACGTGACGATGATCGATCCGTTCGAAACACTGTGGATCCGTGGAGTGATATTTCGGAGTCTCGGACATCCGGTGTCAGCCAGGTCTCAGTGACTGCAAAAAGATCGGGATTGTGGGATATAATCCAGTCCTCCAGCTCATGCCTTTTTCCCAACATCCCTCGGGTATTGCTTGAGGCTAGCAAAGCGTGATTACCTCGCCATATAGGTCTCCAGCTAATCCCCCGTCCGTGGTTAAACAGTTTCCTGGGTACTCCTCCCGACCAAGGGCAGCCACTTTGCTATCCCATCCATGTGATTGATCCTCACCTCCCTTTAGATAGCACTATCGCTATATCCACATCGCATTAATCCTCCGATTTCCAAGACAGTGTTTTCTACTTTTACTCTTGTCGTGTCGAACCGATTGTTTTCTTCAGACCGGGGTGCCCCTAATTTGAGGTATGCCGTTGTATTTCCATTAATTCGTGATTAGAAACTTGAAACATTGGGTCCCCTTTATCCAATTCGTTATAACCGAAAGAAGACAAATACTGCGAGATGTTAACATTTCTTTTAATCTCTTCAGTCGCTACAACGTAAAACAATCCGGTATTTATAGAAGCAAGATTTGATAACTACAGTGGTGAAACGAACAATAGTTAGGGAAGCAGGGGAGGGGGTGGGTTGGGAAATCAGGTCCATGGCAGTCTAACTGATTGAGTAAGATACTTTTGTGCACACAATATTGGGTTACGTAACTTGATTAGCATCGCCTCGCTAAACACCAAAATCCTGGGGTTCAAGTTACGTAATAATGGCTTGAACGACAATTGTGGGTCAACGATGTGTCCAGTTATCATGAGATGTTTTGCGATTGATGACCCTGGATTTCTCTTATCGGTTTGATCTCTAAGATTTTGTTGCGTCATCGATTGTACCAACCACTTGGGAATGTGTTCAGACATCCGTTGTGCCAGAGGCC